AAATCATTTTGACGAACTGTACGTTACAGAAGTAGTAAACGGAATAAATTATGGTTTGCCTTGACAATGATCTAGAATTATGATAATCGTAAAAGATACTTGGTATTGTTGAAAACTGAAATATTCAGACTAATAAGAATGCATTGCTGGTTACCAATATTTTAGCCTCCTAGTTTCTATACTATATTACCTGTAATAATTGTTGTTGTATTGGAATTATTAACGTATTTCACTAGTATAAGAAAAATAAATCTTTACATGGATTTAATCTCCACGAGAAATGTAATTGTCAATAAGTTGCTTCTTACTTAAAAAGCTATTAAAAACAATAATACGCATTAGAATATTCTATTTTCATAGATACACAATTGTATCATACATTGTTGTATCACGACTACACCACTAGAAGTAATAGTATCATATCGGGTAAAATGAATATTCCTGTCAGTAAGTATAACTTGTGGTCTATGATCCGTACCTCTGATATCAGTAAACGCCCGAAGTGACCTAGAAGGAATCTTTTAGTTTGTGCTTGATTTGGTTAAGTAATCCTGTATCGCAGTAGTGTCAATCTACCGCATTCATTCCCGCTATGACCGATTAATCTTAATTAAATGAACCCAACTAATAATTTCGAGCAGGTTATTTATTCATATGGTTACATTTCAAATAGTAGGGATTTCAACTTTCATGGCACTACAATTTGAGAATTTAAACCCATAAAGAGTTCCTAATAGAGATTCCTTTACACAACTAACCAAGAGGATGAGTTTAGTAAAAAATAACGTATTTCGTCATAAACGTGACCTTGCCACTAGTCTTGTGTACTTTGCTGGATAAGAACAAACGTATTCTACATTAAATTTTAAAGACCTTAAACCTTATTATTTTTTCAGTAAACATTCCTCGTTATAAATATTCTGTGATACATCTTGAATCATAAAAAATGTGGATCAAGTTTAAAAAATTCCCAGTGTAATAAGGAGAGATAATGATTAAAACCAGTTTTCGTTGACTTCGTCTTACCATATTACAGTTTTATCTTTTTACATTATCTTTTCCTACCATTACCTGACCAAGCAGGCTTTATAGCACTGATTGGAGGCTTTGTTGAACGCAAAGTAGCTGATTCCTGCTTTTGCTTACTTCCCCACACTCATTGCACTTTGTCACACTCATTTTACTTTCCCGCGTTCCAGTATTGAAACCAAACAACAAAAAATCATTTGCTTGTATAAGGCACGTTGTACGGGTATGCTAGAAAACAAGTTGGCGACACTGCTAAACCGATCAGCTGGTGCAGTATTTATTGGCCATTCTACTTACATACACAGCGACTTGACTTAACCTATAAACCTGTTGTTGTTTGTTAATATAAACATTACAAACCAACAATTATGATACTCGGATTTTGATTAAATAGGTTTGTGAATTTTCATTCAGATTTGTATTTGCTAATTTGTAGAACAACTCCATTTAGATTTATTTGTGAGACGATTTCATTTAGGTTTGAAATTGTTATTTTGTGAAACTGCATATTAAAAGTTAACCTTAATATACATACTAGGCCCCATTATTCACCCAAATCTTTAACCCAATCAATAACACTTTATGTATGCTATATAGTATTCGTGGACAAATATACTATATAACACGAACGCAAAGTCTCTTTTCTGCACTCAAGGAACATTTCGCGCTCGCCGGTTGCTCTTGCGTAAATTTCTATCAAGTGCAACAAAGTACTACTTTGCGCATCAATTACACAAATAACTATTTCCTTGAGGTTTAACAGCCTATTTATAATCTTTCTGTAAGAAGTTGGTACAACCTATAGTATTAAAATATGTCTATGTAAATTGAAAATTAGTTTTACTGTTTTAAAATTTACTAAAACCCTTATACGACTCCAAATGTTATGGAGCAGTTAGCTATAAAAATGGATAACGTTATTATATTATTTTGTGACACACCTAACATTATCGTCCGATTCGAGAGTACCAATGAATGGTACGTATGGTTATGATTTTTAAAACTTGACACATCTTTACACTTTTATTAAATTGCTACTTATAAGTGCAATCGAAATTTGTTTACACGCATATTAAATTCGGATAGCCTAAATCTTTTGTTGAGAATGATTAAGTTTACTAAAAATAATTTTCCCGCCAAACGATATGTAAATCATACTTCTGTGAAATTCAATAGTTGGAAGATTATTCAATGACTGTAATTATGCAATTTAGATAAATTGAAGTATAATATTCTATGAGGTTGGACGATGTATTTCATGATAAAGGGATTGAATTAGTTATTGGCGAGATTAAGTTGGTTCGCTTTTGATAGAGGCAATTTTTTATCAGCAGCGATCACGGTGTGAATAGTTAACTCCTTGTACGGGTTTAATCCTAGAGTAGAGTTTTAACAAAACAAATAACAAAAAACAAATGTCAGATTAATATGAACATACTTTTAATCAAATTTCCGTTAATCAAAAGATCGTGATGTAAAGAAATTGAAAAAAAATAATTTGATGTTAGGAAACCTTTGATTATTGTGTCCAAAAGAAAGATGTAAAAAAAACTGGATAGTAATTTTTGTAATGAACCATATCTTCTGATTAAATATATATAAAAAAACCTTATACAAAATACTTGTAAAATTGCATCACATTTTAAATTATAAAATATTAATATGTAAATAATAGCATTTATGTATGAAATCATCAACATGTACGGTTAAAACTAACCTTACTTTTTCCAAGCACACTAATGTTTAAGTCCAAAATTAGGCATATCATAGAAGGTTGACAAACAAATAAATTAAATATTGAACGCTGTATTGAATGATTTGAATCTCCGTGTTCTATGCATTTTCTTTATTTATCAGAGGAAAAAGACACTTAAACTTCTTGTGACTCAATATAAAACTAATCTGGGTCTTAGAGTGGATCCATATCAATGAACAGAATTCCAGCTTAAAAATGAAATGAAATAATATGCCGAACCTAACATTAGCCTTAACCAAATAGCACTTCCTAAACAGCTCTTATTATTAGATTGAGCAATTAAACCATCCACTCAGCAAAACATTAGGTCATTAACATATAGTTTCCGATTTAATTTTAATATTTGTGTAGCTTGATGTTACTTAATTATTGTATTTAATTAGTTTACATAAGAGTTGCATATTACGCATCCAAATATGGTTTAATAATGTTGGTTAAATTTTGTACAAAAAGCCACTAAAACTCACAAAATTACAGATTAAAAGGACTTATTGATATTAAAACCTTAATTACTCCGACAGAAGAGTTCATGAGATCATATATATTTTAAAATAATCTAAAAATAAGAAAATACTAGGCGTTGCGAATTAGTTGTGTAAGGACAAATATTTTATAACAACGAATATATTAGCTAATTGTCGTTCATTATTAATTAAAAATGAGGCTATATTTTAAAATATTAAGGTCTTAAATATATTTTTTCTATGACCGTAGTAGACTCGCGTAGACATCGTAGTTGCAATGATACATTGACGTTTTCTATTGTATTATCTTGTTGAATGTAAATCTTGTCAATGTATTATTTTGTAAAATGGCGATTGCCGTCGGAATGAATAAACAAATAAATAAATAAATAAAAAATAGTAACCCCGTGTCGTTGACGGAATAGTGCAGAAAACCCCGTTGAAACGCAATGCTATTTACTAGGTTAGGCCTACTTTGAGTAACTTTTAGTAAAAATTTCCTGAAGTTGACTATACTAATGGACGTAGCTATATAGAATATATATTTTTTAAAGCCTCATTACCACAAAGGTAATTACAGTTTGTGGCTGATATTACCATGTAAATACATTTTTAATTTTCCTATCAATGTTACATTTTACGCATCCCTATGATATAAAGCTTTTAAGGGGTTTTGTAAAAAAATATACTATAGCTTAAATATATTACAATATCATGTTTACATATTTTGATTGTAATAACTGAATGAAATACAAAGATAACTGAGAATGAGCATGAAGATACGATACTCCGTTTACAACAGAATTCCCATACAACACGAGTAAACGATAAAATACATTTTTTTAGTGCCAATTGCAAAAAAAATTAAAAAAACTTGCAAATCTGTGCTACAATTAAATTATAGTTAAGTTTTTTCGGTTGCAATCCTCTATAACTATTCTTTACTTCTAGTAAACATTGTTGGTTATTACGTACACATAATGTGCTCTTTATATCAGCACATATTTTATTGCGATTTAATAATGAATATCTTTGCTTCTATTTTCACTTAAGGATAATAACTTTAAGGAGCTACTGCTAAACGGAAGTAAAGTGTACAGAAAATCCAGATATAATTGTTTAAATTTTTTATCTATCTCCGAATTAAATTTCCAAATTCACTTTCAAATAAAAAAAGATAATAAATTATTAATAATTGTAAACCTGAATCGTGATTTGAAGGTCGCCATGTACACGCTAAGTCGCGATATCGATAAGATGTCAAAGACTATTGTTTTTTTTCCCATCACATCTAGATGATGAATAATTTTTCAATATTTATTCAATAAGTATGCTAAGAGTTTTTTTTTTATGTTAAAATAGCTTAAGTTTTGGTCATTGGGAACTAAGCTTCCATGATTGATTTTCAAAGGCAATAGACGTAGGCGATATCTAGTTTTTCAATTGTTTAATCCAACGTCTAATGGGAAAATTCCAAAATTCAAAATTCAATTGGTTTGTCAAATATTAATTTCAAAAAATATTTTATTATATAAATAAAAAGGTCTTAAATTTCACTGCATATCCGTAAAGTCGAGTTGTTCACGAATCCGTAACTTAGTAGAAACATAATCGCTATGTCCTAACCTAACATCAGTATGTGACAACGACACAAGTTCCATCTGTAGTCTTCCCAATATTTAAAGTTGGCCGGTCAAATTAATTACTAAAAATAATTAAATTTAAGTGCCAAAGTCAAAGTCAATACTTACCCTCAACTCTGATGAGCTGTTGGAAGGGTATCTCATGAACTTGCCGACTGTTGGGGAAGAAGGCAGATGGAGCAGTGATGGATGTGCCTCCTAATCCAGACACAGTGTAGTTGAAGGCCAAGAAAAATTGGGGCTCCGGAAATTCGTAGGCCAGAGTCTGATCATACGCGAGGAAGTAGAGCCCCGGGTATGCTGGGGTAGCCTCATTTATTGGATGTGTCAAGTCATATGACCTGTCCTCACAGTTGTAAAAACACGGATCCAAAAAACACTGGCTTAAGGTAATCAATGCCAAAAAACTAAGGGCGCGAAGATGGCCCATTCTGGCAACATGAAATACCCGCTCTGCCTCCTCCGGTAAGCTGGGCTGACGTTATCAGAGTTATATGACTCTCTATCACAGCTCTTTATGGTAGTTTGTTTAACGTATTCATTGGTATTGATATCACGACGATAACAGTAGCGGTCTCAGTCGATGCTGGATCGTAGGAGCGTTTCTAGACTGTACTATTTATGCAATTATTGGGGTAAACTTGGATAAAAATGGTTTCTATGTGCCGCATAAAAAATATTTTTACAGCATAATTTGTGTGATCCAATGAAGGTTTGAGGTGCATTGTAGGTTATTAATATCAGGGTTGAGTATTTATTTTTCCTGTAGCCTAATGGTCTAATGGTCCATGGTTGAATTTAACGAACTATGTAGATTGTTCGATTACAAAAATTCCATTTCTTTTTTACTTGTTGCAAACATCCAAATAACAAGTAGACCGTAGTTTTAAAGTGGAGTTATGTATTAGTAGGAAAAGCATTCCAACTCAATAAAAAAAAATATTTTGTAATGGTATTATTGACATTGTACCTGTACGTTCTTCTACAGGTAAAACTTGTAATATAGAAAAACTTATGCACTCCAAATTAATAGAATAAGTATATTTTTTAAATAGGTTGTTAGAAATAAATTGCCACATTTTTATCTACCTAAAAACATATTATATCTAGTTGTCAATGAGAAAAATAGTACATTACTAATAAAAAACAATGATGGAAGTTGTTTGGTACGAGTTCTAAGACAAAAATAAAGCTATTGGTGTAAACGAGCCACTCATTTACTCCGGTGCGAAAATGAGCTTCCCAGATTCAGGCGATTTGTCTTTAAAATGTTCTTATATTTTGTGCAAAGATGTAAAAACTCTACCCAGTTCTTTCATTTTATTTGGCAAATTTTGGGCACACCTTATTTGAATATACATTAATAATTAGGAATATTAAATTATAAAGCTATATAAGAACAAATAAAAGGTAAGAAACTATTTAAGTAAGATTTGAATTTCCTGAAATGTTTCATATATTTATACAGGTAAAATAATCAAGACTCTTGAGAACCAGGGGTAGATAGCTTAAATGATGACAAAATAAAGAAATAAGTTTTTTGTGGGTATCGTTAATGATAATATTTTAGCCAAACAGTTAATCAATTACACACATAAAAGCTATATAATTTGGGTTCTTGTGTTCAGCAAAACCCGACTTACATAAAGCCAAAAATTAGTAACCAATTTGAAAAACTGCATATGTTAGAGGTTATTATAAATGCATCTTGATCTATTTAATGGTAAGATAGTGTAATTTATTAATAAGAAAACTTCAACACAAAAAACAATTTAAAAATAATTAGTTGACAAGTAGAAACTCTAAAATTCACTTTAATTAAAACTTGAACTGAAACCTTAGGAGTTCTAAACAGAACTTTTGACGGCCAATATCTCTTAAACAAGTCCGCCATTATGATTATCTTAGTCCTCGAGTTAAGTATACTTACTGGTCATGACCAAATGACTGATAAAACATAATAATAAAATTAAGCTAACTTATACAGCCTTAAGTTATTAGGCTAACTTGGGTATTATCTCAAAAGAGAAATACGTGCTCATTTCCTTTCTTTTTTCGTTATTGATTTGATGAACTATTGTTGATAATAAAAAATCTATTGTGTTTCAATATGAAAATTGTTCTTTTGTATTATGTGTGTCTTTCGGTATTGAAAGTTTTAGTTTATTTTAAGGTACAAAATGCGGAATCATTGTGGCACTAAAATGATCAAAATGGCAATTTCTTTAATTCATTTTGAAAACGATCCTGCTCAATATTGAAATTTACCAATGTATGATTCTCCATTTTAAATTTCCCTAATTAATTATAGAATAGGATGGAGGTAATAAGGACTAATTTAAATTTACGATATAGCAATAATATCTAATAAAATTATAAAAATAATGACTCTGACTTATCCCCTGCTCCTTTTTAAAATCAAACTTGAACTAAGGTGTTGAACGAATAAGAATTTGAAGATGGTTCAGGTTCAGTTAAATAATAAACTAATACTAATTTAATAGGTCACGGACCCTTAACTAGCATCGCTAGGCAGTTTTAATTAAACGAAAAGCTTTAGAACAGTTGGCAAACATTAGAACTTGAGAAAGATTTGGCTTTTTAACAATATAATTTTTTTTTATTAAAATCAAAATCAATAAAAAATTATTTTTCCTACAGTCACCTGACAAAGTGGCCTTCCACTCACTGATTATAGCACAGAAAGTTGCTAATTGCTGCATTTACTTACTTTTGCCGCACACTTTTTGACTTATGCCACACACCAGTATTCCAGCCAATAAAAAACAACGTGCTTTCATCACGCAATGCGTGTACGCTTGAAAATAAGTTGGCATCACTTAAAGATATTACGTCTACGATCAGCTGGTGCAGTGTTTTCCATTTTGTTCAACGTTTGGATTTAACCTAACCTAAAAAACGTGTTGTACAGTGTTTGAAAGAATAAATATTTATATGCTTTATAGTAACTGTAGGAAAAATATAATGTGTAACGCGAGCTACACCTTTCCACACTCGCCAGCGTGTCGTTAGTAAACATTTCTCTTGTGTGTTGCAAATTGCCACTTCGCCTACTAGTTAAAAATAACTATTGTAGAGAGTTTAAATATTAGAATATTACAACCACACAACTTTCCACTTGTCAATAAAGAAATTAAAACTAAATGTCATATAGCTGGTAATTTTATTATAATCTAGGTCTTAACATAGGCCTACATCATACAATTAATAAACAGTAAAAATAACCATAAAAATGAAAACTTAAAGCATCTAACAAAGTGGTATCCATTTTATAAAATACTTCCTTTTGGAACATACAGATGAAATATCGTTTAAGAGAGAGGTGAAAGAAGGTAGCACGGTGCAACAGTTCTTAGTTTACGTCGGGGTAATCGATAGAGGCATCAGTAGCGCCAGCGGGCAACACGAAGTGGGCCCCGATAAACTTTAACACTCTGATTTACCGATACAACCCTCAGGCAGGGTTTCATTTCCACGTTCGAACCTTTTATTTTCTCTTTGGCTTCTTCTCAGAAACTTTCCTGAGTTTTGTTTCTTCTGTTGTTCAATTTGTATAGCTGAGACTTTCCAATAGATCAATACATCAGTACAAAGATTGTTTTGTTCCCTCGGATTTCATCAGCTGAAGACAGTTTGTAGAGTAGAATAAACAATTGTAAAGTTATAACTAAATAATATAAGTTTTTCGGCTCGTTAGTACATAGTTCTCTTTTCTGATTACTATTATCGATTAAATTTAAAATTTAATGTATGGATTTATTAGGGATAGATTTGGATAGTGGCTTAAGCTGGTCAACCCATTTATATAACTTAAGTAAAAAATTTTAAAGAATTTTCTTTTTAATTAGACGTCAGAGAGATTTTGTTCCTCCTTTGTATGTTAGATCTGCGTATTTTGCTTTTTTTTAAGTCTGTTAAATTATGGTCTGTTACTGTGGGGTAACTCCACCCACATTCTAATAATTTTAAAGCTTCAAAAAAGGCTGTACGACTGTTGAACAATTCTGGGTTAAGGGACCATTGTAAACCTCTTTTTGAAGCAACGGGTAACCTGACAACTGTAAATTTATAATTATTAGAGTGTGTTATTTTTGTAAAACTAAATCCTCATTTTTTTAGCTCTAGAAAAAATTTTCACTCATACTGCATAAGGGGAAGATCTGCTTTGGATAGGCCCTACACCAGACTAACAACAGTACAGCAAAGTTTTGCTAGTATATGAGGAAAAATAGTAAACTGTTTTGCCAGTGAAATACTTGACATTCCTTGTACTCGGCTAAAACAAAAGTTGATGGTTTGGCTTGCTGACCATCCTTTTTACAGTTTGGATGAATTGTTTGCAGAACACAATTGTAATGGCAAAATTGTTATCTAGTTCTTACTTAGTCCCTAGTCATCTGGTACCTAATCTTTCAATTACTTTGTTTAAGTACCTAACTTTTTGTTTCATTATATAGTTCTGTGTTTTTCAAATGATTTTAACTATTTATTTTCGGTAATTCTGAGCAATTACTTGGTCAACCCCAATTTTTTTCATACTTTACTACGGTCATCAGGATGTTCTTAGAAAACAAGAAACATATAATTTAAGCCCCGCAAGGTTAAGTTAGGTTAGGTTAGGTTAAGTTAGGTTATGCATTAACCTAACCTAACCTAACTTAACCTTGCGGTGTTCTGTTGCGATGGTTGCCCGTTGTAAACTTCACCGAAAGCCCGAAACAAACGGTGTAGACTCGATTCTATTCCAACAGTTAAACATGTGTTTTTTTTTCATTTAACGTCATCGACCCGCCACATTGTGGACACTCTTTGGTACGTTGCAAAACGCTGTGATCGTTTAAATATAGTGTTAACTTTTCCTGATCTTCACTTAAAACCGTGAAACTAAGTAACGTGTTTCACCCGTCCAATAAAAAAGGATTATCGGAGGAACCACTAGCCATAGCCATAACGGTACTGTCACAACTGGCCTTCCGCGTGTCTCTCGCAAACCACTGTTATCGCTTGGAATTTGAAAGTTCTTATCGCTCTGCAACCTGTACGATGGCCTTGCGGGGCTTAAATTATATGTTTCTTGTTTTCTAAGAACATCCTGATGACCGTAGTAAAGTATGAAAAAAATTGGGGTTGACCAAGTAATTGCTCAGAATTACCTTATTTTCTTGTTGTCTTTGTAATATTTAGAGAAGATTCCATGTTATAGACCATGTTATAATATCTAGAATCTATGGCCCTTTTAGGCACCTTTTTTGTTAACAACTGATAAATAATTTTTGAAAAAAATATTTTTTTTAATAGTTTTTTAACGAGGTCTATTGTAACATCTGTTATTTAATGACCAATAAAGATTTATGATTTATTTATGATTTATGATTTAATAATATTCCTCCGTTTTCCCGATATCCACCGTGTGCACTTAATGTTAGAAGAATAAGGAAAATTATTTATCAGCCCTATCCTATTCCTATA